GCGAGACGCGCTGCCTCAGCCAATCAAGAAAGAGGGAGGGCGGAGCTCCGGGCGGAAGCGTCCCACGAGACTGACGCCAGCAACAACTGGGCGAGAGAGCGGAAGTAAACAACTGGCACTTCAGCCAATCAAAACTGCCCGCTGCAACACGGAGGGCAATCACAAGGGCTCTAGTAGGCGGGCACTACTCGTAACCAATCCACGATTTCAGGGGGCCAGCTAAGCCAATATACGAGGGGCGAGGGAAGGCTCTTACATTGGAGCCAATCATGGGGCAGCACTTTGACGGACGGAGCGGTTACCCTATCAACGAGCTAGGAGGGCTTTGACGAGCAGGCGGCGCGGCCAATGGGGGCGCGCGGGGCTCTAGTAGGCGGGCACTACTCGTAACCAATCCACGATTTCAGGGGGCCAGCTAAGCCAATATACGAGGGGCGAGGGAAGGCTCTTACATTGGAGCCAATCATGGGGCAGCACTTTGACGGACGGAGCGGTTACCCTATCAACGAGCTAGGAGGGCTTTGACGAGCAGGCGGCGCGGCCAATGGGGGCGCGCGGCTGGGAGAGTCCGGAGCATCTTTGGTCCTTCCCGAGGGCATCGACCAGGAGCCCGTCCGGACCTGGGACAGAGCCCAGGGCAGAGCCTGGTACCAGGGAGGTGCCAGGCCCGGGGGATCCGGCGGCTCCGTAGGGAGCGGGGCAGAGCAGGGGCCGCCCGCGGTGCCGGGATCCCAGCGGGATTTGTGCTTTGCGACAGCGGAATGGAGCAGCTCGCTCGTACAGGGGAGGTGCTGGGGGCTAAGGCCGAGTCGGCGACGCGGAGGGGCCCAGGGGCTCTGGATCACTTGAGCTGCAGGTTGACCCTGGAGCGACGTTCCGGACACGCCGGCACCTCCGGAGCAGCCGCCCGGGAGCAGAGCCCTCCCCGAGCCAGGGCGGCGCTTCCACACGGCGGGGAACGACCCGGCCGCGCTCCGAGAAATCCCGCCGGAGCCGGAGAGGCTGGTGCACAAAGACACTTAACAGGTATAAAAACCACCACAGTGAAGAGGTCTGTAGGCTCCAGGCTGGGAAACGTCAGCCATTCTAGTGAGAGCTTTGGGATTCTCTTTCTTACATTCGCAAGTCAAGATTCAAAAATAAAGAAATAAAGAGGAGGGCTGAATCATGCCTGGGAGCCTGAACAAACCAGGACTCCCAGGGAAGCTTTTCCCTTTCTTGCTCATAAAACACATTCCCGGGCGGAATACTGACACCTATGGATGTGAAACATGGTCGAACGGGCTGTACAGAACACACGAAACAACGCGCTCTGCAGAGCTACAGACAGAAGAGGTAGGTAGGCCTGAGCGAGCCCCCGGGATGCCCTCCAAAGCCAGGATTTTTGCTCCCAGATCTTAGTCGCTTCCCGCAGGAAGTCAAGCTGGTTTGGGGGCAGCCTGCAGCCCCGGGCCGAGCTCCGTAATGCACTTTGGGCAGGAGAAGTCGAGCTTGGAAGCAGGGATGAGCGCGCGAGCGTCCGCAGAGGGCGGAGAGCAGAGCTCCTCCTTATTGCTAGTGTGGCCGAGCGGTGAATCCCTGGGAGAAGAGGCAGCACAACCGCCGCGGCTGTGCCCGGTTAAGGCAGCGTTTCTACTAAACTGGGGTCCTAACGCGCAGCTACCCCCTAAACATGCAGGGCTGACGGCTCCCGCTGCCCAAGCAGGGGCTCGGCCCGGCCCTGGGGAAGGAGGCGGCTCTGGAGCCTCCCAGGCAACGGGATCCGCACGGAGAAGGCACCTGGATGCGGGCAGGATGCCCTGAGCGCGGGGGCAGCTTTTCCTTGGGGGCCGCCGTCTCCCGGGGGCCCCGCGGTGCCGCGGGCCCGGGCAGGC